GCCTTGCCCAACGCAAGTTATAAATTCGGGCACCGCCGGGAATCGAACCCGAGACCCCAGGATTACAAGGCCAGCGTTCTAACCGCTAGCCCACCTCATCTTATTATTATTTAGTGTTCTGTCTGACGACAGGTCCATATGAACAGGATCGTTCCATCCTTTTCTCGGACTGGGACCTGTTCATATACGTTCTTGGCAGATGATCCAGAAGTGGTTTGCCATTGCCTTCTTCTGTGTGTGAATGGGATGCCACGGAGAAACCGAGGAAGCCCCCGGAGGAAACCTCCGTGTTGCCTAGACCACGGCCTTGTCCAACACAAGTTATAAATTCGGGCACCGCCGGGAATCGAACCCGAGACCCCAGGATTACAAGGCCAGCGTAAGGTAAGGTAATGTAATGAAATGATTTATAGGTAACAACAATGCCGAGTAAACAACTGACGTTTCCAAGGTAACATAACAATGCAGTTACACTTTTTCCTTTCACTTTTTGCCGAATGACACTGACCCGAAAATATAGACGTATTTACGCCAAAAAAATCTTGGTGATCGTGATGAATAAACTCCATGGCCTGTTTCATGTCGCTCATCGTTTAGAAATTTATTGCGCAATGTCATTTGGAAAGGCTCTCGAGTGTTCTGAGACGGAAACATGTCTGGAGTCGCTGGATGAAGCCACCAATGACTTTTCCCGGTCTTTGAAAGCGGTATTCATACATGTAGAATTGAGGAACGGAAAAATTACCCTTCTGGGCCCTAGAAATACTTTTAACGGGCGTAGGTAATGTACTGAAATGGCCTTTTGGTCAACACGGTTTACATTCTGCTGGATTTTTCGGTTACTGAAAACTACACTTTTCTGCTTGATTATTCAATACATTTTCAATACTCTCACGTCCTACCTCTATTGTGTATAACGTTTTAATAAATTAATTAATAATGCCGATTCTAAAAAGATACATTGGAACAGAACATGCGCTGTTTTTATACAAGATGGGCCTACGCTTTCTGAATTATATCCATATAAAATCTTCGGCGACAAAGTGTTTCTGTTGACATCTGAAGTTCTCATGGCTACCAGTATGAAGACAATAAGACGAGGTCTTCACGGCGTTGAAAACGAATATGGCTGTCTTCTGGGTTGTAGCGCCGTGAAGTCTGGTAGAAGTTTACCTACGTTTCAGAGGTCCTTGCCGCCTCCGTCGGGGAGGTCTCAGTACGAACACACCTGAGATGCAGCATTATATAGTCCGGTAGACTTTGCCCCCCTTCCGGACTACATGATGCTACATTCGAGGGGATAGCCAACTTGAACAGTTATCCTGTTCATAGCGTCGCCTCCACAGATGGCACTAGGCCTGTCCCACTGACTCGTTCGCCGACAGAATCTCGCACATCTTTGTTCGTAAATAATATCAGTTATCTGCCATTTTGATTACTACTTCGTGGGTGATCTGCCACGGAACAATTTACCGCACTGTTCAAAGACGCGAAGGCATTCGTTTTTCAGAGCATCAAAAATACAAACTTCCTGAGATTCATTACAAAACTTGTGGGGGCATTAGTTCCTAGGCGACACTCGTAGTTCTTCCTGTGTTTGGTGTCCCAGACGACCACTGGACAAGGCTGGATGGAGAACGTGGGTAGTCATGCGCCATTCGCTGTAAAACCTTTTTCCTTTCGTGTTTATATAAATACAGAGCAAAAATATTTTGAATTTTATCTAGAAAATGCCACGGTTCAAATCAATTCGCACAATTGACCAGTGTGGAAATCTCAAGGATAACAAGACAGTTTGCCACATAACAGAACATAGACGAACACCGAAGGCCTCTGCAGCCCGAGACGGAAAAGTACCGTATCGACCTCGGACATTTGTCCTTCAAAGGCCGGATAATATTCCACGTCAGTACACCTAATTTTTCAGTAGTTTCAAAAAACGAAACCTAATTTCAGAATACACTTTCAATAAACATGCTGAGAAATAAGGAATATAAACTTTTTTCAGACACCCGTATACTGCATATCACCTCGTCGGCAACCTCGTGGTTTTCAAATCGCAACTAATTTTAATCAATTTTTAATTTTCTATAAATCTCAGACATGTTACTGAACACTTCCCGTATCTTTACCCACCGAATTTTCGGAAAAAAAGTTCTAAAGCGCCTGCCTCAAGCATGTGTTAACGGACTACGTATCAACTGGCAAAGATATGGATCGAAGAATGATAAAGGCGATTATAGGCGGCTCGTCGTGATGAAGAGGCCTTACTTTAATCTCAACTCTTTGAAGACGAAGCTCGTCCAAGTAACAGATAAGAATTCAGTCCGTACCGCAAAGAAAACACCACATTTCTCCACTGCAAAGATCTGTTGGCTAATGCTGTTTAAGGAAATAAACGATGTTTACACTGAGAATCATATGAAGTCCATAAATACAAAAATACCGAGCGATTGCTGAACTACGCACGTTTATTCTCTGAAGAAAAAAATACCGTTCTTCTTCTATCGTCTTTTCGATAATTTACGTCCCAAGTATTTGGATGCTGCAGCGAAAAACAACAAAGGAGCTCGAATAACGACATATGGCATTACGTATTCAGATGATGCGCTTATGCCGTACGATAACAATTCCTCCCCAGTCTAAACAGCTTAAACATAACATCTCACAGGTACGTATGCACAATGGCACAGCGTGACCATTAAGAATCTAATAAAAGTATACAGCATTCGGTGACTTGGTTACTAATACCGAGAAATGGGTGGCATTTTATCTATTTGTGTCTCGTCCATTCACAGAACAGATGAGAATGTAATGTTTTGGACATAACCAAGAAACGAGCATAAAACCCCCGTTAACAGCATTTGCGCGTTACACACGACTTGTACGTGATAACAACTTTCGACTGACGACGTTATCATCTCAGGTAAATACGATAAGAGCATTCGGAACACAATGGACATCCTTGTGCCTGCGTTTCTTTTCCTTCCAAACCTTATTTTATGGGATACTCTTTAGAACTTTCTACAGTAATGAAATGTCTGATGAGAAATCCATAAAATGTATAATTAAACAGTCACACTACTTATGAAAAAGATACATTTTGAAGTAGATGCAATAATGTTATCACATCTTAACGCAGACCCACGGTGGTCTAGCGGTTAGAACGCTGGCCTCGGGTTCGATTCCCGGCG